GCAGCTTTCTCGATGACTAGTCTTCCAATGTTGCCGCTGACACTCCTTACTGCAGTAATACACTCTCTTACATCCTCCACACATTTGGAACCTCTCTGGGGAATTCTCCTCCCACTGACACCCAGCACAAACAGGTCGGTAATACTCCTTGGACAGAGGGCCATAGTCTTCTATTAGTGCCACATCGCTGTATTCTTGGATGATCTTGCATTTCAAAGCAAGGAAGATTCTATAGTACGTTGTCTCGGTCAGACACGCCAGTCTTGTGCAACTTTTGACTATTTCACAGTTCTTTTCGATATTGTCGAACACACTGCGGTCATCTCCACTTATGATATCCGTGAGACTGTCGTTCTCGTTGTCCAGGAAGATCTTGTTGTTAAAGACAAGTTTTCCACTACTCTCGCTATCAGAGTCTTTATCCGCTTCCCATAATAGAAAAGACTTATCTCCTGTGCAGACGAATGGAAGACTCGCTAAGAAGAAGTAGCTGAATTTAGAAAAGTTGTGACATGCGCAGTTGCCGTCTTCACAACCATGCATTTTGCACACTTTTCTCATAATCTCTTGTTGTGTCTTCTCTGGACATGCTTGAAAACTTGTCTCTTTTTCTCCTCTTTCTTTAGCTATCCTTTTGTGTTCCTGTTCAAGCCTCTTGACGAAGACCAACGTTGCTTCCTTATACGCACCCCATATTGCAGAATCAATCATTTTTGGAGTACACACCAATAAATTCTTCCTCTTTTCCTCAGACATGAAGTTCCACCTGAGTTTGAGATGGGCGCCAATGTATGGCTCCATCACGTATGCCTTAACAGCGATCACTCTTCCCTGGTTGTTTCTCAAGCAGTTATACTTATCGTTTTTCGGGCCGATACTCTGACAAGCCTCAAGGAAATGCTTGCTAACTAGTGCAATGCTGTCTTCACTGATTTTTCCATCGAAAATCGTCCTCATCTGTTTCTGAATGTCGGCATACGTGACATGGATCCAACTCTTGTCAGGTTTGCTAATCAGAAATCGCATCAAATTCAAGCTGCACGTTTCAACCAGTTTGTCAATCACAAGGTGCGTGGGTAGTTCCTTCCAGTACAAATGGGTTGTAAAACAATGCACAAAGAAGCTCAAAAACCCCTTGGCTATGACACGTCTAACAGCATAAATAGCTTCTCTAGGAAGACCAAAAGCCTTAACATCGTCAAATATCACTGACATCACTTCTCTTAAGGTGTTATCTCCAAAGCACTCTTTCTGTTGCTTGGTAACGCATGTAATATCATTGTTGGCCTCGCCCTTTTGTACAGGCGCCAAACAAATGTTACACTTTTTTCTGCTCGTACAAAGGCTGATGGGCTGCCTAGGTTGCCCTAAGCTCCATCCCTGCTCGTTCAGTTTCTGTAACGTCAAGGACACTACCATCTGAATAACAGGACTATTCACGTCGAATCTGATCCCATTGCGCTTCCACTCTAAGATACGATCATAGTATTGAAACATCGTTGCCGCAAGTTTGAGATTGGGATTCTTTTTATTCAGATACCAAAATCCCATGTGTCTGGACATTCCTGAGAATCGATCGTAATTTTCTTCCGTACTCATTAACTCGGCGACTTTACCTTTCCATTCTGCCACGGGTTGAATCATGGAGTGAACAAAGCAGGGGTCTTTCAGGACATCTGTCGTGGGTGGTAGCGGAGGACACTTGTTGCGCTCCATTTCTGGGCTCTCAATCCACCAGGATTCAAACTCTCGCCTCTCGTAGTGTAGACGATGGTATTTTGTATCTTTTAGAAGTTTGCCAAGCTTCTGGACCAAATAGTCTGCATTGTCCTTATAACAGGAGAATTTCGCAGCTCGTTTAAATAAGTCAATTCCCTTTTGTATTTCGCTGTTCGTGACTTCGAGTTTCTTCTTGGAAGATCTCTCCTTGCAGTATAAGACAACAAAGCTTGCGACTTCTTCCGCGGGTACTTTAACAAGAGGAATCCTTGTATGAACGATTTGAAAGTATTTTTGAACGACAGAAAGAACTTCGTTTTCTGGGATCTCTTCTTGTACGAATCCATCGCGGAACTCACCCCCGACGTAGCAGAGCAAACCAACCAAAGTGTGCGTACGTTTGTTGCCGTTTTTTCCGCTACCATGATTTTTAAAGAGTCCAAAAGCGATAAAATTTCCTCTTCCGTCGGTGCTTGAGACCAACGACAGTCCATGTGGATAATTTGCAAAGTCCTCACAAGATAATGTAACAGCAGAGCTCATTTTTTTGAATTGACTTGTATGCTTCTTATTCTTTAGTGAAATGACTGTTTTGTTTGTTTACTTCTTGTTGTCATCGTGATCACGTGACCGTTCGGTCGTTACCGAGAACGCGCACCTCAAAAAAAGCGCGCGCACTTTATTCGTTTGTTTTATTTCGGTGCGCGAGCGAATGCGAAAAGGTGTGCGCTCGTTGCACGCGCAAGAATGGTAAAGATAGCTTGTTTCTTCACTCTTTAATGTTGCCCATTCATTTTTAGACTTATTTCCATAATAGGAGGAAAATTACAATTAAAAAGCTCATTTTTAAGTTGAATGTGCAATAGCTTTTTCTAAAGGAAAACCGTCACAGTTGATAACTGTTAAATGAGTAATTAAAGTAGCGAAGAAGAAAAGTAAATAAAAGGAAAGGAAAGTTTAGCTTGTTTCGTTCACAAGCATTTCTAATAGCTAATTAGTCTTACATCAACTGATGATGGCAGAGGTCACTGCCGAAACATGTATGTTAAACTCAAAAGTGTAGTTCTGCTCTGTTTTACGCCAGTTTGGTCTTGGTAATGAAAATGTGAGAAAACTTCCGGATGATTGATCGCCGGGCATCTTTTTTTTTAAGTGTGACGTAATTCGAACAAAAAACGACTTCCGGGTCCAACTTAATAATTACTTCTACAGACATTTTTCTGTGTTTTTACTTCAAAGCAGGATTTTCTGTTCATATATCTAAATGTTGAAGGTAGAGAACAAATCCTGGAATACGTTATGACAAGATTTTAGCGATCTTTTGCGTGATTGGACCCGGAAGTACGTCACAACTTAAAAGCCCTAGAGCTGTTACATTTAAATAGGTGGCTGGTCAGTAGTTAGCAACCTCTAGGATATACGTACAGTCAGTTATTAACCTTTGAATAGGTTCATTGAATAATTAACATAAACGACAATTTTATTACACATAATATCACTAAGCTGAATAGCAAGGCTTTGAAATTTCGTACCTTTTGTGGGGTTCCTGTGTACAAAGGTATCCCATGCATGTAAAAAAACAACGCTGATATACGCGGTCTATGTAGGCTGGTTAAGGTTTTTCTCCATCTGAAAAATGAGAGCGTAGGAAAGACATTAATGTTGAAAATTTGAATTGATGCGTACCAAGTCTAGACCCAATGATAACGTTACGACTGACAACCTTCAAATTTTATCAATACCCTGAAACAACCTCTGGGCTGATCAAAGTCAGGGCATGGCTAACTCACAGATCAAACCCTGAAACAACCTCTGGGCAGATCTAAGTCAGGGCATGGCTAACTCACAGATCAAACCCTGAAACAACCTCTGGACAGAGCTAAGTCAGGGCATGGCTAACTCACAGATCGAGCCCAGAAACAACCTCTGGACAGATCTAAGTCAGAGCATGGCTAACTCACAGATCGAACGCAGAAACAACCTCTTGGCTGATCAAAGTCAGGGCACGGCTAACTCACAGATAGAACTCTGAAACAACCTCTGGRCWGATCTAAGTCAGGGCATGGCTAACTCACAGATCGAACGCAGAAACAACCTCTTGGCTGATCAAAGTCAGGGCACGGCTAACTCACAGATCAAACCCTGAAACAACCTCTGGGCTGATCAAAGTCAGGGCACAGCTAACTCACAGATGGAAATGGAATATTTAGAATGTAGATTCTTTTGCCGGGATGTTGATTAAAAAGGAAACAGTTATTCCTTCTCGCCAGCAATAATTTAAAAGGACTTCAGAGTTTTGAGTGGACTTCCATCCTTTGTCAATGATGATTTTGATTTTCTCGTTTTCACGAACAAATTGAAATTAAGCTTGTTAGTTTTCGAGATGAAAAACCCTCGAATCAAGAGAGACTCTTTACAAACTCCACATGTGAGGCCGAGTCTGAGAATTGAACCCGAGACCCCAGAGGTGAAATGTGTGCACTACAGTTACACTACCCTTGATTCCCAAACTAGACAACAGACAAACAGATGGGCTACTGTATTTTCCTGAGAGGTGGGGTTCATAACACAAGATCAACGCTTACAGATATGAATTTACACAATATAAATGAAGGTAAGAAAACAGTGCCTATCTAGAAAAGACAATGGGGCGTTACCGATTTTCATGCTGGTGTCCACCGTACCGCATTGGCTTTTTCCTTTCTCTCAAGGCATCCCTTTTTTATCTTTCATTTTCCCCCTTCAAATCAGTCCCCATTTCCATTTTTACTCTAATTTGACTTTTTACTCCTTTTTAAAATAGTGTTTATTTAGTGTAGGGCGTAATTCGAAACCCATTTCCCCCTTCCATTTGTTGCAGTTTTTGTTGCTTTTCCGTACGTTTTCCTTATTTTCGTTTGAAACTTTCCTCCAAGTAAKAATTGTCCACTCCAAATTATAATTCAAGTTATTTTTAAAGCAAAAAGATTACACTTTTCTTCAATTTCAAGCCCATCGCCCCTATAGAAGCACAGGCCATCGATCATTGTCCTCCGAACAGCACTGTTTTGGGCTTTTCTAGCAATCAGTGACCAAGTAATATGACAATTGGCCATTTCCTTCTCCAAGCRTTCCTCGGCCTCACTTACTTACAGTTGACAAGCCCCACTTACAAACACATTACAGTCACATGTAACTTAGACATCCATTCTAAGTTTAGCTACGCAAAGCGCTCCATTTGAGTTTTAGCCCTAGAAAAACAACCAACTTCCTTTGCTTGGATAAAGGCCAGGGTCTTTAGGAAGACTTGACGATTGATTCCTCAAAATGGTTACTTACGAAACGCAGGCAGACCTACATCATGCTGCGGGGAGCTAAACACGGATCTTTCAACGTTGTTGCTCGAATGGATGCTCTCAAACATTCCAAGGTAAAAAAAAAAAACAACTTTGCAATATTTTTTCTTGCCAAGGAATCTTACGATTTTAATCGAGGGTTCTTTTATTTCATCAGGGAACTAAATGCAATCAATACTGGAGCAGTTTAAGTGAACAATTTGTGAAGATTTCTTGCTCGACTTGAAAGATGGAAAAGACATGTATATCTGTATTTGTGTTCTTAGTTCAGATTTAGTTGTTTTGGTTGTTAGCTTATTTATTAACATGGATGGTGTGCTGGTGTGTGTGCTTTGCTTCAAGTTCTTAGGTAAAAGATGGTAGGTTTTCATTTTCAATCGTGCGTTCACGAGTCCGAGTCAGTAATGCTTATTTCTTTCGACCACAGGTCGAATGTAGAGTAATAACATTGAATTAATTGCACAAACTAGAAATTCTTTTAACTGTCTTTGAAACGTATTGAGACTTGAATAGTGGTGATCATCCTCTAGGAAGGACAGTGTCCTTCGTGGTCACTAAGCCTCTAGTTATTCAGTCGTTCACAGGTGAAGGGTTTGCGTGATGTACAAGTTTTACCTCATGCACCATGGATCAAATTCTAATCCTCAGAAAATCCAATTACCACCTGAACTGGAATTCCTTGATTCAGTTAAAAACGTTCTTGAAAAGTTTCTGAGTTTTACTGTTTTCTTCTGAGGAGAGCAGCAACCATTTCACCACCTGCAAGGCACGTTAAAAACCAATTCATCTCGCACCGGAACAACATAAAAAAGTATAAAGTTCCATGCAAATTGTAATGGCATTAAAAGCCCATTAAACACCCGCAAAAACCATCTTCATTGAATTAACACTTGAATGTTATCTGGGTGATTGCCTTGTCAGTTTGAAGTTTTGGCGGCGGATTTTCATGACGATCTTTCGCGCGCGCTCTAATGAGGAGTAACCTGTCGGTTATCGATTACCAACATGCTGCAAGACAACTACAGGAATGTCAAGCTTGCTTACAATTTACTTTTCTATGCGTTATTTTCTACTTATTCTTCGGATTTTTTTGTAAGCCGCACCGAGTGAATTGCAGACCTTTTGAAATGGTTTTTAAAAACAACCTTTAAAAATATCCTTGTTGTTATAACTCATAGTTCAGTTACATTTTCAATGTGAGGCAATAGCAAACGTACCACTTAGTTCGGCACCACATCAAAAAAGCCAACGACACTGCTAGAACATTGAATGGCACGAAAATTTCTTAATGAAATTGTTTGTTATACAAGCTGAGACCATCACTGCGGATAAAACCTACCACTGATAGTTATATTTCTTTTCTTTTATCAGGAAGAATTCCAAAGCACCGCCAAGAAATTAAAGTAGATGAGGAACCTTGGGATTTCTTTCACATGTATTTCCAAGCAACAACACTCGCACAAACAGCACTCTTCCTTACTACTAAAACGTCAGTGCGCTGCAATTCAACCACATTGCGACAGCATTCTCACAGCATTTGCCATTTGTTCGCCATTTTTATGGCAACAACAGTTTTATATCATATATTGTACATTTACTAAAGTACCCTGGCCAAATCAAGGCATACCCACCAGTACTAAGTACATCATAGCAGCTAAAGTCCGACACTTTATGGCACTTAAGTATTATTAATCTATTTGTCGTATTCTTCATACTTTATGTTTAGGATCTGTTTGAGGTATTGATAATATTTCTCTACAGAAACTCAGTGGCGGGTCCAGGAATTTAAAAAGGGGGGTTCCAAAATGGCCGTCACGTATAAAAAGCTGGTAAGATTGGCTTCACAAAACGGGGGTTCCAATTTCATTGAGCTGAGCGTAAAAAACATGATTGGCTTCACAAGATCTAACAAAAGGGGGTTTCCATGGAACCCATTGAACCACCTCTGGATCAGCCACTGTAACTAATAAGGTTTTGGTGCTTGTTCATCCGTACAAGACGTGACAAGATGTGTCCTTCAAATTACAGCATGAAAACTTGCTTCAAGAATTTATACACTAAATATTGTGGATTACAGTCAAATAAATATCGTTAATAAACAATAAATTGTATAAAAACTGGCTTTATTTATTATATTTATAATATTTACTAAAAGGGGATTTTCGTTGGCACAACATAGTAAAGGATATTAAATATCTAATGGTGACTTCCTAAGGCAAAGGTACTTCAGTTAGTTGAAGTATACAACATACAGCAAGATATGAAGTCCTACTTTCTCAACATAGTGCGGTGATCTGTAGAAGCACTTTAATATGCTAGGTATTGAATGCACACATTTACATACTAGGAGGATTTTCACTGGCAGATCAGAGAGAAGAATAGCTATTTTTAGTTAATGCTAGCAATTGCATATATACACAGGAAGGAAAGATACCTGTTTTTTTCCTCAACATCTTAGCATGATTTATGCACGTACTCTATCTAACTCATAAAGTTTTAACCATTCAACCACGTTGTGATGACAGAAACAATACTGCCAATATTTATCTATGATCATAATTTCATTTTTAAAGGAAATTTCTATAGTATGATTAAAGAAGGTACTCTAACACAGCCGAAATATAACTTGAAAATTCCTTTGAAAATTCCTTTGAAAATTTTTTTTAGTTCTCTCGCACTAGAGATTTTGACATCAATCATGTTGTGAGGACAGAAACGATACTGCCAATGTTTGTGCATGATTCAAGTAGAGATTTTATTTCTTTAAAGGAGAATATTCAGTTCTTTCACCAGTTTTGCCCCTTAAGAAATCAAGTTCCTCTGTACTGTTCTACGATGCCAAGAAGCCCTTTCATTGACTTGGAAACATAGCTTACAAAAGCAGAAAATTATACAAAGAAAATGACTATATACAGGAATTAAAGTGTTCAATGATGAGAAATTTTCAAAAGCACAAAATTTCACAAAGAAAATGATTATTTACGGGAATTAAAGTGTTCAAAGATGAGAAATTTTCAAAAGCACAAAATTTCACAAAGAAAATGACTATTTACAGGAATTAAAGTGTTTAAAGATGAGAAATTTTCAATGATCTAGTAATAGTTATCTCGAAGGTTTCATTAAATTACATGATTGGGAAAACTATCGTAAATTTTAATTACAAAATCCCTCTCTCTTTACAAAGTATTCTTTAAATGGATATATTCAGAGGAACTATAATTTAAGATGGAGATTTCCATAGACTGGAGTCAGGAAATATTGGAATGATGAATCAAAGTTTTGAGGAAGATGTGGAAACATTTAATGAGGTTATAGATCATTGTTGTTGATTGGATCAGTATTCTTATGAGTGGCTTGGATTCTTAGTAAGAAAAGAATAATTTCCCGACAGCAACACGACGTTGTTGTTGCAATGCTTTACTTTTCTTAATGCATGTGGCTGCGTAAATATATGCATGTATGAGGGAATTTATATGATTTTATACGCGATCAATGTCATATAATATTTTGTCATTTTATAATGCAGAAGCCTAAATGCAGGACAAAGTTATTAAAAGCTGACTGAATTCATCATCATTGTAAAATTAACTTTCAGTACGAAAGCCTAAGTACGAAGCAGATATTTCTTGTTTTGTTTTTGGGTACAAAAACAAGGGATTAAAATAATTTAAAAACAATATCACAGACGTGCTGCATCACGACAAAGTACAAAACCCCCTTCACGTGTGAGGTGTGAGTTCCCTTAGGAAACTATATTTTTAGTTATTTCTCGTTTAATTTTCTAATTTTTAGTTATGTACATTCCGCGTGTTTGTCAGTCCGCGTCGATTGAGGATGTCGAACAACCCAAGGATCACCTCATGTCCGAMCTTTCTTCAAATCCAAGATGTTGAAAGCTATTGCCGTGCTAAAACATGCTAACTCGCGACCACCCAGTGATTTTACCAAAAGCATGAAAACTCCAGCTTCAAGGATTTATTTTAAAGCTCGAKTAATGATGGAGTAATGTCGACGACGTCATTCAAAAGTGTGACAAAAGGCGACTGACGTCATCAACTGTCATGGCGCTCTCTACAGAGAGGGTTAATCTTGAAGGGTCGTTATCGCGAGCCACTTGAAAACGTTACCTCAAAAAGGATTAAATAATCGGGCAGAGATATTCATCGAACCTGAAATGGCTTGTACATAACCTGAAATAGGTTCCCTCTTTGGTTAATCCTTTTACGGTGATGGTTTTAGAGGATTACGTAAACAAAAAAACAACAAAAATAACTTCTTAAAAGTCAATGTTCATGGCATAAACCCCGCAAAAATAAAATAATCTGACAAAAATTATTGTATATCACTAGTCGTAAAAATCATAATTTACAACTTTATAATATTATATGAATATTTACAAAACATTTTTAGTAAAGAGAAAAATTATTGGATGAAAAAATTTATCTGATTTAAAAAAATGTATGGCTCATACTTCTTGAACAGTGGTAAAAAAATAGCTACAAATGCTGCTTGTAGGAATATTATCTTTGCATCAAGGATTTGATTTTAAAAAGTCATGTACCATGGAATGACATCTTTGCAGCACGGAAAGAATGTGTTCTGGTTCTTGGTCGAGTTTAAGGATATTTGATTTAACGACCTTTGCCTTCTACTATCACTAGATCATGATAGGTCTATTGTTTGGTGCTGTACTTTCGACTCTGAGATAAGGACTGTAACATCTGTAGTGTCATACATCCGTCAATGCATGGACCAAGTCCTAGTAGTTATTCTATCAAAGTTTCATCCATTATAACCAGGGCGGGATTCATTCCATGTTTGTTTCCACGCCAAAACAGAAAAACCTGTTCTTGTTTTGTGTTATATTTGTGAAAACAACGCGAGTTCAATCTAAAAGATACTAACCACCCTCACCGTAAGTTCATTTTTCAAAACTTTTATCATCGGAACGATGTTTTGGTTTCCGCTCGTTTCCTTTTGCGTCAGAAAATTGTTTTCAATAAACGTTTTTTGTTTGGCCAACTTTTGTTTTTGTTATCTACGTTTATTCTCTTCCTTTAGCGGTTCACATGGCCTCGAATTTGAGGTTTCACAACTTATGATTGCGGGTAACGAAGAGTTTCCCCGACAGCACATTTTACTTCAAGTGGCAGGGCTTTTAGAGGTAATTGATGTCTTCCTCAAGCTGTCGGCCCGCCAAAGTGTTGAGTAACAAGTCATTAAACAGGCCCTTGATAGCATATGCCATGCAGCAACTCCGTCATCAAAAACTGCAGCAATTAACCCTTTTAACTCCTGGGGATAGCGTTAAAAGGAGCCATTCTTGCTGAACAACAAGTCAATCACTCGTACGTGGTTCCATGTTTCTCGCGTCTTGCGTGAGGGGGAAAACGACAGGCTGTCAGCCATGTGTTTGTTTTCTGTGGGAATGTTCGCAATGCTGCAGAAAAAAGGTTTGCATTTGTGTTAGGGGAAAATGTGTGTGTCCCTCTAGCCTGACGCCCACCCAAGTGTCTTATCGCATGGGAGCTAAGCGGTCAGTATAATTGCTGCAATATCCGCTTGGATACCTGCCGACTCAACAGGCAAGCGATATCATCTCTTTACTCGGCCCTCTTTTGGATTCGATTCCATTTAAAGGAAACTATAAACGACTTTTATGTCTCGGGCAATTTACAAGCTTCCGTTGAGTAGCTCAGAAACAAATTTGATAATTTTTGGATTTTCTCCGCCTGGTGGACACAGCCAGGTGTAGGGACATCCCAGTGGGTTAATTATCTCTTGATAGACCAAGGTGATGTATTCCACTCGATTGCATGGCGAGCCCACATGTGGCCTTGCAGAGGAGAAAATCTGGTCTAATGTTTGAACATCTGAGAACTGTACAAACACAGTGGGCTTCTTCTCCTCGCTTTACTTCACATTCAGGAAACGCATGTAAAAATAGTTGCAAAATATTTTATCGTTGTACAAATTGATGTTCACAATTATGACATCCTTTCACAAACAACTTCATCACAAGGTGAAAAAGTTTTTTCTCACATGAGGAGGAATAAATGACAAAAATATAAAATGGTGTTGCCAAAATAAAAAWAAWAAATTATTATTATTTCTGAATATTAAATTATAGCTAATGAATTGCTGGTTGTGATTACGGGATGGGCGTGTGCTGGCTATTGACAAAGACGAACGCTTGCTGAAGGAAAGGTCCAATTTTACTTCAAATAAAATATTTTTAGCGAAAACCCCAGTTCGTTAAAAAATGAGAGACTCAATGAGAAAAAATCGGTGAATACACTGAGCAACAAAGAGTTATTTTGAACCACATCTGCAAATGCAAAGACGCCAGAAACTTGATGCCAGGCATTGTTCAATCGAAAAATAAACGTTAAAGAAGATGTCGAAAAATTTCTTAAATTTTTCAAGGTTTTCTAATAATTTTGGGCTTTTTTTAAAGAGAGAGATAGAAAAGTAAAGAGCTGTATTTGACTTTAGACTGATTAACTGTTACAGGTTATTATAGTTTATGTTGTACTAATCCCGATTACCTTAACAAACACAAACCCAACAAACTTTATTTCACTTGTAAACACTACGGAACCAAAGCTATTGTCGTTCACGAAATCTTCTTAAGATGTGATTGAAAACAATTCAAAACGACCTAAATACACAAAAAGGGGTTAGCTCTACACGATATTTACTGTTTTTTCACCACTTCGAGAGCTGTTTGCTCAATAAATAGATGGTTTAGGACACGTTTGTTCGTGGGTTTTTTCTGTGCCAGTTGTAGTGTCAGCTCGTCAGCTCGCACTCGCTAGAGTTGGAGGTTGTTGGATGCGTAATGAAAGATCGTTCAAAGTCGAGTCGTCAGGCTTCATAAACTCACAGGGGAGCCAGTTCTTGGAATTACACGAAGTATTCTTAGTTTATTTTGACTAATAAGGAAGTATTGGGTTGAGTCTCAGTAGAAGGCAAACGATAAAAGGCTCTAAATGCTAAAACAACATGGATGGTCATTCGATAACCGAAGCTCAAGTGAGTCAGTGAGACCTTCTCGGAGTCGTAAACAGTTTTATCTTAAAAAGTTTCGACTTTGTTGGCGTTGAATGACATCAGGAAAAAAGTAAAAGCAACGGCTTCGACATGCATTTATTGGCAAGAAGCAAATTTCTGATTCTCAAGTCAAATACGTCTTTGAAAAGAACCGTTATATCTATAAAAGAAGGCAAGCAAGATGGCGGACTGTTACACGACCTTTACTAGTGGCAAATCCAGAGCAAACCCAAACTGGCGAAAGAAATTAGATTATGACGGCTTAGGAGAGTAGTATGAAATAAAAAAACGATACCTTAATCATGTGAAAATTGCTTTGCTCCACAGAATGGGAAATCACCCTGATTAGTTGTACGATAACAATGGCCGACACATTTGCCACACTTTCAAAGCTACACGCCATCGTATTCTCCTTGCTAAAAGTTTCTTAACTTCAAAATTTTCTATATTTTGCAAACTTTGCTCCTTGAGGTAGTGTACAAGGTTGTTTCAGCTGTGTTGAAGAATTATCTGGTTTAATTGTCGTTTCGTGATAAGAGAGTGTCATGCACTAACTTTGTTTTCTTTTGTCTTTGAGGTGGTCTTGCAACACTAGCTATTCCATCGGAATACTCAACAAAGAACTAAAAAAATGGTCACTCAAATCCAAAATGCCACAGATCACCTCAAAATTATGCAAGGATTCCATGTGTTTTTAATATTTTTTCAACCCAAGTAAAAAAACTTGCAAGGGTATCAGGCATTACACTGGGTTGAGTTCATAAGTCCTAGTGTTGCAAAAATGTGTCAGCCAAAAACCAACAAATTAGACACCTATAAGTTTTAATCTTAATAAATAAACTACAATCTTTATAAAAGACCTTAAGGAAATGATGGAAATCCTCTTATTTTGCATGACTTTTATGGCGAATAAACTTAATTTTTTCGAACTTTAGTTGAGCTTTTTCTAACTGCAGAACAATGTCCATGGTTGCCGAGTCTTGCATGTTGGCCATAGATAAAGATTCTCAACACAATATGGAATTACCTTAAAAACAAGCTTGAATTCATCAAACGAGCGCCAATTCATATTAAACACTAAAATGCATTATTATTATCCAAAGAAGTCAAATAATTACCATGAGTTTGTATCTTTTGAGATACAAATAATGAAGACATTGACTGATGCATAAGTCTTTGTAAAAAAAAAGACAAATTCTTTGGTAAATCTTAACTGTAAAATTTGTTGGAAAACTAAAACAATCAATGAAAGAAGAAAAAGCCGTATTCACTTCAGAGTCACACCAGACACAATTCCAGTCAAGATGCCATCTTGTATCGTAAAAAAATGGCTGTGACTGCGTGTAGGAGATGTTTTGAGAGTAAACCAGAACAGACAAAAATTATATTCTGAATAAATAGTAGCGTGGGAAAGAAACACCACGAAAATTATCTTAGAGCACAGTAAAAACACAATCAATCGATCTATGAAACGGCTTCTCCGTAATCTATTTAAAAATGCGCTAAAATTTTGTGCTTTGTCAAGAATCGAGCCCGGCAAGAGTTGAGGGGAACTTCTCTGAGATAAATTCTCACAAGCGAATAAAACGAATTCTTCTTTTCTTCACCATTGAATCCAAAAATTAAATAAGAGGAAAACTGTTTCTTGTATTTAAAAATTTGTAGCTTGGAAAAGAAAAACTGAAGAAAAACAATGCAGAAATACATGAACAACGTTGTAGAAGAAGATCGATAGGCGTGAGGGTGAAGAACTGTGAATGGACAAGAAAGATGGCTGCGAGATATGTTACAACCTCAAAGAAAATGTCCCTTACAACTAAAAATTTAAGTCACAAAAAGTGTTTAGGACTGTTTTGATGGAAACTCTAGAAAGATTAAAACTCGGCATACTTTTTGTTTTTTGCATCTTTACCATGCTCAACTGAGTGATGCTTGGAACATACTTGCACACTACAAAGCAATGAAAATGATGAGAGAAGAAGCCAAAAAAAAAAAAAAATTTATTTGAAAAAAATAATGCCTGAGTTAGGGTGTATAGGCTTTTTGAAGGAACTGAATTTCATCTGGACAACTTAGACTTTATGTCAGTAAAGAATGGGATGTTATGGTAGAGTGGTACTACATTATTACAAAATTGTTTCTTTGTAAAAGATCTGCAAGATGTTCCTAAGTCATACCATTAGACCACAACACAAATTGTTGTTAAATGAGTATTGTTTAAAAAGTCTGTAGGAAAACTAGCAGAGCCAGTGTGCCACGAAGTCAGTAACAAAACGTGGAAAATTTTTAGAAAAATTTATTTTTAACTCGGTTCATAAAAAATTTTCTGAAAACGACTCCAGTTGTCCGACATAAAATAAAGCACAAAAAAAATTTTTTTTCACAAAAAGTATGTACAAAAATAAACCACAATTATCTTTTAATGGGAAGCTCTTATGAAACGAATAGCCCAGCTATAATTATTAATTACCTAATGGAGATTGAATTCGCATGTTTAGTCAAAACAACCAACCAAACTTTCCCGCCTTACTTGAGGTTCTGTTCGCTATAATGAGAATTGCTTACAAAACTAAACTTAAATTTTCAAATTTACTAAGCGTTAAGCCATTTCTTGAGCTAAAAGTAGGTAGAAACTAAGAGAATTAGAGGGATTCCAGGTCGCGACGAAGGATTACAATAAACAATAGAGAAATAATCGTGATGGCTTACTTAGTGGACAGGACGGATGTTGGGAATTAACTCCAGATAAATTTGTGAATTTTATTCTACAGCTATCACTTGTTTGTGAAGCAAAGGATATCAAGGAAAATGTGTTGAAATGGAAAGCTAAAGTACCTGGAATTAGGCAATTAGGCAGATGAAACGAGAAAATCGGCAAACGTTATTGTGTGTAGGTGAATAAGTCGGCCAACGATTTGCTACAAGTTGCATAGCTGGATACGGTAGTAAAGTTCTGCACGGTCTTACAACAAGGCAAAGTTTAGTGATTTTGCAACATCTTTTGGGGAAATGTTAGTTTACGAGACTTAGCAAAAAAATTTTTAGAACTTCTAGGTTTGTGTCCATCGGCCCATAGTTTGGTTTTGCACAAACCCATTGATTGAATACCTCAATACACTATCAAATCATTCGGATTATATTAATGAAATAATCAGTCGAAAACAAACAAGCTCAAATGTTTCAACATCGCTCATGTGCAGCCTAGTGAATCTCAAAACATATTTGGCTCTATTTTTCCGCGAGACGTACAACGAAAATATTTAAAAACTTCTAATTGAAATCCTACACCAGTTTTGTACGATGTACCAAAGCTGGAAAAGCCAACATGGAATCGATCCCTTCAATGAAAATGTTTCTATATTATTTGTTACATCTTTGCCATTCAAAGTCCTCGGTATCTTTGATATCTATAGAGTTTCCTTTGCATCATTAGATTAATTTGTCCTACAGATAATGTATTTTTATTATCACTTTAGATACGATATTAGAAAATGAACCTATATGATCTGATAGCGGGTCTTTTTAGGAATCAAATCTCGATCTCGCAGTGTTGTCAAACTCTGACTTATAATAAAAGATGTCTTAATGTGTGGTTCTCTAACTGCGGTCTTTCTTTCATGATTCTTAAGAGTATTATTCAGTTTTGATCCAAGTGTTGAAGGTTTTCTCTCTCTTATCTGAACCGCGGTGATTGAACACGCGTGTCGTTAGCAGGCTTTCGACCACACACCAGTTGCTGTATGCCTAGCTTAAAGCTGCATTGTACAGGGTAATCATATCGCCACACCGGGAAAAATTTTACACTCAATTACCATGAAATTCAAAAATGGATTTGCCTTTTCCTGTTTCCCGTGAAGTAATAGGCCGTGATTGCCGCTGGATTACCAATCACAAAGCTCATCAACCTTCATCAAATGATGATGCCAATGAAATAATCTTTTTAATACTCCATTCTTTACAGCTACTAAACCTGTAATTCGCTACCCATCAAAGAATGAAATACCAAAGACAAGAAAAATATCCCTAGCTCTAAAGCACAGACTTGAAAAACTCATGCTGAAGATGAAAGAATGAAAAGATTTCAGCTCTGCAGGTTTTGATATAAAAATGCTTTGCTGGTAGAAGATAGTGTTCTGAATGATCTTGTGAGTGATGGAGTAATCCCAACGAACAGAAGTCTAAAGACTTTGACAAACATTCATACAAAGAATCGATAAGTGCAAAGAACAGTTGATACTCTTTTAAGCTTTATTGACCGACATGTACGAACAGCTTTCTACTCCATGATCTGTACATGGTACAAACACAGAGGGTCAGTAGTAACAGTTCTCTTCGATACACTAGCCAGTTGATCTCCTAAATATACTTAAAGCAACAAATATACAGCGTAACAAAATTGAACAAACGACTATAAACAAGTTACAACAATAATCTACCGTAAAGAAAATAKGATAATTGATAATATACAAGTTTGACTGGATCTCAAGTTTACATACGGTTAAGGGTAATTTACAAAGACGCGCGTAATAAGATTATATAGCTGAAGGTTATTGGTAGGAAGCGAACGCATCATTACTGAACTACAACATTTGATTAAGAATTATTGCCCACAAAATTTTGATGGCTTTATATTTTATATAATTACCCTGATCAGCTCGCAAACTGTACATACGAGTTGCATTTATCGTCTTACAGTGCTTGCTTGTTGTGGTTAAGAATATGACAACATTACTAGCAATCGTGCTGTGTTTGTTAGCAGGATACGAGAAGAACCGTGGCCTTTTGAGTACATGTCTTTGAATGAAAAATTTCGCTTTGGAATTTAGAGAAAAACTTTCTAAATAAACGAGTACGAAATTCAAATCAATGGATTATTCGTAGCTAAATTATCACTAAAAATATTCATCTAACTCTCTTGGCGAGAAAAGTATCACTTATCTTCTCTCTCGACCAGACAATCAATTCAATTAATTTTTTCAATTGGGCTCTTCAAGATTTCCACGTACAAATTACGAGCTTCAAAAATCGTCTATGTAACACTTGAATACAAGAAATGAAAATTTACAACTCATATTTTTTCCTGTAAGTGCCTGAAAACAAGTTCAACGTTCTAGAGGATGCAAACAGACCTAAATAAAATGCATTGATAGTTCGCTTCATTCAGAATATACTAGTAATTTCAAGGTCAATAAAGAGAGCCCGAGTTGCTAGTACTATTATAAGTGGCACTTCCAGCTCCAAACTGACCTTGTGAAGGCTGAACATTACATCCAGTAACAGATCCATTGGACACGATCAGTCTCTGGGACTCGAACATCTCTCTCACGTTGGGGAACGATGGATGGCTTGCAGCTGTTTGGCTGTGCTGTGTTTGGCTGTGCGGGGAGGGTACCACTGGAGAAACTTCAGTAGCTATGGCGGGACTCGAGCCGTACTGGTGATGACTATACCAGCCACTTCTTGTAGTCTCGTAGGACGTGTACGGTGTATGCTGCTGACGGTGGAGAGGTTCTTCTAGAGCTGCGTGAGGATTCGTTTGATTGTAATGACTTAGATGTGGAGAATAGCGTGTCTGAACACCGGGTTCCGCGTGAGAGTCGTTGACAAACTGGCTCAAGGCAGGTCTCTCTGCACCGTTTGGAGGACTGTTTGAATACGAACCACACGCATACGTCGATGGAGAGTAGTTTTGTTGGGCCTGAGAATACGTACAATACCCATTATAACCGTACGAGGTCTGATCTTCAAAGCACTGGCGAGGAGGTGCGGTAGGGAAAGATGGAGGCGTAGATCGATTGTCGTCGTCCATCATGTACGGTTCTCTTTTGACGACGGTCTGCGGAGACTCTCGCTTTCCTCGCGGGATATTTACAACCACCATCTCTCTGTCGGGTGATGGACTGCTCTCGCGGTCTGGAGAGTTTTCTTCCTTTGTTTGTTGATCAGTTGATTGCTGCTTTTGACTTCCATTCTTACTAACGGAAGTGGATTTATGTGCGTTGTCATTGCTTGTATTGGTTGTTTCAGCTGAGGTGTTTTCCTCACCGTTCTCGTTCTTCTCCTCAGAACTATCACCCTCTTCACTCTTGACTACATCTTTCTTTCGAAAGCGTTTTCGCCTCCTAAGATAGCTGCCATTCTCGAACATGTTTAAGCTGTCAGGATCCAACATCCAGTAACTACCTTTGCCCGGTTTCTTGTCATCGCGGGGAACTTTCACAAAACACTCGTTAAGAGAAAGATTATGCCTAATTGAGTTCTGCCAGCCTTGTTTATTGTTCCTGTAATAAGGGAATCGGTCCATAATAAACTGATAAATCCCACTGAGTGTGACTCTCTTTTCGGGTGCACTTTGGATAGCCATAGCAATAAGAGCAATATAGCTGTATGGAGGTTTGACCATGTCTTGTCTAGCGGGGTGTTGAGATCGTGGAATAGGAGGCCCATAAAATCTATCTGGGCCATGCCTCGGTTCATACTGCCCAGCATGTCCGTACACTGGAAAATGAACGGATGGATACGGAGACGAGCCTTGACGGTAGAAGTCCGCGTAGCTTTGGTTCGCGTACACTGGTGATATCATGGTGTTGCTTGCGCTTGGAGTATTTGTTTGGTAAGGGTACATGGCCATTTCTGAAGCTGACATTCCACCCCTGACCACAGCACTGTGTCTGACTAAATGGCTTGAAGTTGTAGAGTCGCTTTTGATACGTATCTAACGCACTATTCTGAGTCACGCGTTTGACAATAAGATGGAAATTCAATTGATCAAATTACATCAATTACGTAGCAATTCCACGTCAAATCAACCAATCACAACGTACCCCCTATCTCAAGGGCCACACACGCAGAGAGGGGTCCATTACATGACGGAGGTATAATTTCATAGACCTTTTACTGAAATTAGCAATTGGACAAAAACCCTTGTCAACACCATTTCAACGAGGGTGATAGCTCCCGGGATTGTCACATTCAGACATGCCAGAATGATTTGCGCGGTCAAAGACCCGTAGAAAAAGCTTAATTGCATCTATTGAGGATCCGTGCCAAGCACAAACGCAGGCGGTGTACGAGATATACATACGTATAAGAATGTCGTCGAATTTTTTAAAGCCTGATAGGTTAGGGCACTGTGGTGGTTGAGTATTACGGGTAATTTGGGTTATATTTTAGGTCTTACACGTCCATTCCCGCAACACATGGCGAATGGAACCCACGACATAAACGACTCAAACATATGGCTACCAATCAGTGTGAACAGGTTTTCAGACCTTAACTTTTATCAGACGAATAAATTTCAAAATACCCAATAAGATGCGCTTCTCAAACGCTCACTTTCTGTCTTCCATGTATGGAGCATATATGCATGATACCGCCACGACAAATTGTTTGGCCTATTGATGTAACATCGAAGGTTGTGTGAAGAAAAACAATTGTGACAAAAGATTTAAGGACTTAGTGACACAATCGGCAACACAAAACATTGTCCTTGTTGTCCCGTTTAAATAGGGTAGTTTTTGAAAGGAAACAATTTGATCGTAAAGACCCTTTTAAAGGGTTAATTCACAACAGAATGGGCTTTGGGTATTTCAATGAGATTGTAACTCTTTTCTGCAGTGTTAGATATAGAGCATAATAGGGACATCCCGGGGGCGTGACCAGCCCTTATCGTGCAGATAATGGAGCCATAGATTTACATAACTTACCGTCAGCATAGTCGATTCGCTGATTGAAGAATGAAACGTTTGCGATCTTATCATCAAACTTGCCGCATTTTCAACCGACAATCATTTGCCCATTCAACCCCATCAGAAAGGAATTTTATTTACATCAAATTCATGTTTGRTTGACCCGGAAAAGATCGCAAAAGTGCATTTGTTAGATAAGTATTAGCTGGTATTTGTTCATTAATTCTTCTATAGAGTCCAATAGCTCACAAGCCAAGGCACGTTTAAAAGAGGTATTAAATAAATCGCTTACAATTAAGCAAAGATTTAAAAGTCGCTAAAACATTAAATTGAGAAAATAGAATTGAACGTCCAAGATATTCAGAAATTGCATGACTTTAAGTTTAAAAATCCATCGAAAGGTTGGACTTTGTAACAGCGTTAATGCACGGTACACAATCTAAAAATAAACGTGCACAAATAGCACGCAAGTAATCACCTGAACCTCAAATGATTCCTGAATGACAGCGCATGAAGTAAAGTGACAAGCAAGGTCATCCGTGCTTTGCAGATAATACACTATGACAAATAAGTCATTGGAAGATTTATCGGTGAATACGTTGCGCTTAATGATATCTAACAGCCCATTCTTGAATTCCTTTTCACTCACGTATACCAGTTTAGAATTTATCTCGGGGTCAATATGCGTTTAGGGGGCTCGTACGTAGGACCCTGAGGAAGGATGACACTATCACCACGCCTTCCACTTCATACAGCTTGACACAACTATCTGAATCGACACAAGATTTTATAGGTGTGGATGAGTTGCGTAAATGAATGGACAATTGGTTGGTGCTCTGAGAGGTCAAGTATGAGTTTTCTTGACGAATGACTACAGTCCAACGATTGGGACAACTTTAAGATACGGTCGTTATTCGTAGTTTGATAACCTTTACAATCAGCCGCCTAAATCTAGAAACGGTTGTTTGACAGCGGTGTTGCTGCGGATGGAACTGTGTTGATTAAATACCTGTGCCCTTGCGCGATAGGCTAATGAAGATGATATAACGACATCAGAGGAAATTCCCAATTTGTTAATACTTCTTGTTTTCGACCACACTTCCTATAATGAAACCAATGCTTGAAAACAAAACTAGTTTGTCACAAAAACACATGGATGATTTTCCAAAGCTGAAAGTGATAGCCTTAGAGATGATAACAAATCAGTTTCGAAAAATTGTTTAGTTCTATCTGGAACACGGCTCTCTGAAGGAGCATTATTAATTAAGGGATTCCGTGGTGAAAGTAAAGTTACCTTAACTTAACAAATAGGATATATATATACACATTTATATATAATTTCAAGTACCATGTTTTTTCCTCGTTGAAGCAATTCGAGAAATGTTTGCAAAATCTGAAGGGGGTGGTTAATGAGGATACATCTGTGATTACGACTCAGAAAAAGCGCAAACCACAAAGCAATGAACAGGAATTGGAATGAATGAAAAAAGTGACGTATAGTATAGGAAATAAACGTGAGAAATGTGACAAACTGACTGAAAGCTAGAGAGGAAGGGAAAGAAAAAGAGAAAAGGGAAAACGTAAGAGTAAGAGGTTCGGATAAACATTTTTAAGAAAAAATAAAAATATTTCCAAAGTCACGAACAATGACAATTGCAGGAATTGCAATGGAAATGGAAGACTCTGTAGATAAAGAGCCATACACGTGGAAAATAAGAGAAAAACAGCCGGAAAGAGTTGGGGGAGGGAGCCGGAGATCTGAAAGAGATAAGGAAACAGCGTAGGATGCCGTTTGAATGAATGTTAAAAGAAATACATTGAAATAAGTACGTGATTGACAGTTTAGTGCAAATAAGTGGTTAAGATACTCTGTAGAATAGCAAACAAGAGGAAATGTGTGGTACTGGACTGACTCAAACAGGGAGGGAGGGGAAAACGTAGGACTTATGAAAACATGTTAAAGAAACTGATATTTGGTGAAAATAGATGACTAAGATACTCTGGATCATAGGCAAGGAAATTAGAAAAGTGGGATAGTTAACAGTTCACTTCTGTTTGATAATGAATTGCCCCTAGTACTTGATCTTCATGTATAATGAATGAATACACATTTGCAAAGATGTTGAACAATGCCTGGTATCAAGAGGTTGTTTTGGCTGTGACAAACTCGGGGTTGTTCAACCCTTTTTGTGGCCAGAAGACGTGCTGGAAAAGCAACTACACTATGACCTGCATTAATGGATGCAAACAAATATACTGGGTTAATGGCTTGTATTTCAATCCAAGCATGGCCATGGTATTGTATAGTATCGTATCTGAAACAGATAGCAACCGAGTCCTTTTAAAAGCGCATACAGCAGCTGTGAATTCCTTGGCTTCTTCGCTTCACTTCTTCTTCTAGGCTTTTCTGCCATTTTTAACTTTTTAACGAAATCACCTAACTACTTAACAACAACAAACTACGTTCCAAGTTAGCACCAATATTTCTCTATCCAAATCTTCAAACTAGGTGACCACAGTTTCACCCTTCTGGGGTACCTATCGTTGGTCTTCCATCCATAATAGCCTGTTTCTCTCAATCTTCTCAACCAATATATATTCTCTTGTCAAAACAGTAATTCCCCCAAAAGCTTCAAAACAGCTTTCTGCATAAGCACCTATAGTCTATAGCTATCTTTAAAACGTGAAAGACATTTATAATTCTCGTTTTGAAATAATTTTTTTAGTATTATAGATTTTTGTAATAGTTTCGTTAAAGGTTTCCTAGGGTTTTTTCATTCTAGGTTTTGAGGGGTCTCCGTAGTCTTAGAGAAGGTGAGTTAGTTTTGAAGGGGAAAATATCAATATCCTAGCCTGAAACAGCCTCTGGAATGATGTAAGTCAGCTTGGCATGGCTATTACTCACAGATCAAACTCTGAAACAACCACTGGGTTGTATATTTTAGATGCACAATACACGTCCCAACCCACCGAGTTTTTATCGCAGATCGTTCTTTAAAAATAAATGTAAAAATAAATGTTTTTGTGAAAAAATGTTATTCTGGAAATCCGGCTTAAAAATTTCATTTGCGAAGACTTTGATAGGATTTTTCAAAATCAAAAATCCTACTTCTCCATTTAAAGATCAGGATTATTGAGTCATTCATTCTTCAAATATTTGTCCAGCAAGGCTCAACAAAATTCCCTTATAGTCAGTCTTACAGTTTGTCGGATTCATCTGACTGGGACTATTTACTTTGACCTTGATTAGAATTACAAAGTAAAGCTCTCTCACTGCAAATAAACTTGGAATGGCTTTTTAAAACTCGATTACGAAATCCACAGTGTTACGGGTTTTTTCTTGTCTCTCCGGCGCGCGCTTTTTCTCTCATACTCACTGCTCTAAAACTCAATGATCGAAAGCGAAACTTAATTCTCAACACTGTCGTTGCCAGAATTTAGAGATAATAGATAAGCCCCGCGATCTACAGTGACAAATTTATAATCCCTCTACGAATGAACCTCAAGAATTTGAATTTAAAAGAAAATCTTGCGTGATCAGTTAATAATGCGAGTAAAACAGGCGCGCGAAGAAGCATTGAAGAAGACGCAAATTCAGAACGCGCGTTCACTATTTCAGACTCGTATATTCAGGATCTTCAAAACTAAACCACTTGGAGCTTTCAGTAAGAGATAGAAGTACTAAATAAGAATAACAAAACTACATGGGTTGATTTGCAGGACTTGCCGGATTAGAGATAAATTGTGAACTATCGACCCTGGTGTTTCACTGACACAACGGCCGGCATGCGGAGCCTGATCCAAACTGACGGCTACCCGGCTTGACGCAGTTATAATCGCATCTAAACCTTATAAACTTCTTACGAGACTCGCTCACTTGGGAAACTGCATGCCAGGCATTTATGAGAGACATCCAACGTTTCTTTTGAGGGCCTTTTTATACATATAGTGTATGGGAAGTTCGGCTTAGTATTTTCAGTACTGATTCGAGTGTTCAAAACCCTGTG